GGGACCCGGGGTCTATGAGCACCCTGCAGGGAATTCTCCTCCCGCCATGTTCCGCCCACACGTGTGCTGTCCATAGATATACCGGATCTTCGTTGGAGTCGGTTCCCATGTTTATAGATGATCGGATCGGCGGTTTCATATTGTTGATTGGCGCTTTCGTACACACGATTGCATAGTGCTTTGTGTTGCAAAATCGGCATGGCATTTTCGGTCCATCTTTGCAATTTCTTGGCAGATGATTGAGTTTGAGACATCTGAGGCATGCGTCTTTTTTGCAAGTCTCTCCAATCTCTCACTGAGCGTTAGTTGTTCGGTGCATTTGAATGTAGGATGATCGCCCTCGCAGAGTAGGCAGGCTGAGGGGAATCTCATTGGAGGAAGCGGTTTGACAGATCGCTGGGGTGTGTTGGGGCCTGATGTTCCGACATGGAAGGTATGCGACGCCCTTTTGAAGGAGAAATTGCTCGGGTTTGGAATAGCAGATTGATCGAAGCGCCGATTTCTTTGGTGATTGTAAGTTCTTCGATTATCTTCGCTACACGTGTAATTTGAGGCTGCGAGTGATCCCTCCTGACTCCGGGGCGATCTCTTGTTTCCCCCCGAAATGTCTCGGATAGATTCAATTGCGTTCGATTCGACTCTCAGGAAGGTGACGAGTGCCTCGAGTTTGGATTTGTTTGTTTGTGGAATTGTGTGTTTTTCCCTATAGAAGTCCGTGAATCGGAGCTTCGTGTCGTGTGTTAATTTTTGAAGAATCCTGTTGGCAAAAGCCGGTGTTAGTGTGTTGTATGATTGACCCAGTGATATCAATGCTAACAAATGCTGAGATATTCGATTAACGAAGTTTGACAACTTATCGTGGCTGACAATAGATCCAGAGGATAGGATGCGGTCCAGCTCGTTCAGGTGGCTGTCCTCGGCCATGGTGCTTTGTCCGAACACTTCTTGTAGGAGTTCCCTCATTGGTCCGTAATTTTCGGGTTGGATTCCGAAATGTTTCACGCATGCGAAGGCTTTTCCGACCAAGGCGTCTCGAAGGAGAATGAGTTTTTGAAGATTCGGGATCTGTCGGTTGTGAACGAATGTATCGAACATCTCGATGAAGTTTAGGTACTCTTTGACGTCCCCGGTAAACCTCGGTAGTTTCAAGTTCTTGTTGAGCTTCGGTAGGTAATAATCTGGGTTCTCTGCGGTGTTGCTGCTGTGGGCCCATGGGCCTCCCAGGTTATTCTCCGTTGGAGAACCATTAGAGTCTCCTTCCGGGGGATTCCTGTTTGCGTCATCTTCGTGGGGCATTGACGGGCTTTGTTCCGGCGGGAGAGCGCTTCGGTTCTGTCGAGATCCCATGGAGGGTATTTGGGACATGGTATTCTGATCGTCCTCAGGTTGACCCCTGGGTTCTTCGATTTGCGAGGCTGGGTGTGACGGCCTAGAACGTACAGCGTCTTGGTTATGCGTCGATGTGAGCACTTGTTCGTTGTTTTCCATTCGGATTTGTTCTGGTGTTTGGGGACGTGGTGGCAACCGATTCCGTGATTGGGTTTCCGGTGGATTCGGGGGGTCTCTGGATGATAGGAATGACGAATCGATATTCTGGGACTGGCTCAAGTCTAATACGAAATGATGTAGTTCCGTCAGATAGTCGATCGTATTCCTCAGATTCATCTCTACACTGACGAGTTCGTCAAGACGTGGGTCTTCGGAACCCCATTCTGCTCCTTCTTCCATGATGAGTGACCATTTCTGTAGGAGTTCTGAGATCAATGACTTATGTTGTGTGATCTTGCGTAATGTTGAACTTGGTTCTTCGGACTGGCTGTAGAAGGTGTTCGCTCTCTGAATAAACGCATCGACCCGTTTGCGTAATATGATGTATCGTGCGTTTATTCCGGTTCGTGATGATGTCGATGCTGGTTGGGTCATATGTCCGGGGGGTTGGATCTCCCCGGGCCTGCAGCTCACTTGTACGAACGCTGACTGGTTCTGGGACGTCTGAGATGGTCTCAATTCATTGCTCCCCGTCGGGATCTGGTATTGAGGGTTTGTTGGGACTCTCAGATTTGTCCGCATGTCGGCGATGGCCATTCGGTTGCTCAAAGCATTCACTTCTTCGTCTGTGACGCTCGCCGAGCGTGTTGGGATTTGGATTATCGTTCTCCTCTGGGCGGTCTCTGAACTCGGTCGTCGATTCCGATCATCGAGTCCAGCCCGTGCCCCGAATTCCCGGTTGAGTTCCTGTTCCGTGAACAAGTCTTGATCCGTGAACGAGTCTTCCGTCAGATCGGGATCTCTATTTCTTGTATCACGATATCGAGAGAATGAGGATGACCGCACAGGTTCGTCTTCCTGCTGGGTAGCGGATGAGTCGCCCCTTGGACTTGGGTTTGGAGTTTCGCTCATCTTCGTCTGAGGATGTGATCTGGTCGCTGTCTAGGACTGATGATAAGGTCTCACTGACTTCCAGGCCCCGAGAGCGATGGAATGTATTTTTCCGTTTATTTTTCGGGTATTGCGCTGGGGTTTTCCGATGGATGAGCACGTGAGGCGAAGATTCTCCTTTGATTCTTCGAGCACCTGTGACTCTCCCGTACCCCTAGGGCAAGCTTAGAGATCTGGTCCGGTGGTATTCCGAGCGTTGATTCTTTTTTTCTGACACCAAAATGTGGTGCACAGCACGGAGTCTCTTCTAGCAATGAATACGGCTTGTATAGCTTCACTATGGGTAACTCCGAGGGCGCACGCACTGATCTGATTATATTGGTTCGAGTTGAATTCCGGATGCGGCGAAGTGCGTGAACTTCCGAACCGGGGGGAAGACAACTCGTCGATACTGTTTCGTCTGAGTCGGAAAGCGTGACCACGCCGACGGGTCGAACACGTGATGATCGTTTCTTTTTCACGGTCCTTCGACCGGAGTACTAATGCTGATGATTAGAAGACGATACGGCTTCCTGTAGCGGTTATCAGCTGCTCTCTCTTAGATTTCACTCCGTCCGTCGCCGACCGCGCATGCGCGAGTCCGTGTACTTTTCTCTTTCAGTGCGTCCGAGACTCGGTACCCTTTTATTGAGATTAGATATATAGTAGAGATATATAGTAGAGTTCCTTATACACATTCTTTCACATCAGAACTAGATGAGTGCGGGGAGGAGTGTCTGACTCCGAATCGCCGCGATCTCATCCCGGGATCGCCCCTGAAAGATATCACTCATACTGGTCGTGAACGTAATGTGGTGTTTTCTTGTCTGTACGATTAGTTTCCTATATGCGCAACGAGACCTTGAAGGGTCGTTCGTCACAAGAGATCTCATAAGGCCAGTTTCCTATGTCTGAGATGCTCGTTCCGGCTTCATTTCTAACTCCATTTTCCTCTGGCTGGTCCGATATAAGAGCGTCAAGAGATTCGTTGATGACTTCTCCGGGGTTCGAGTCCAAGAACTCCGATGCCGTGAGCTCGGTGGGCACGGGATCTCCTTCCTCGACTCGCGATCGCGGATCATTTGCTCCGTCATATGTCGCGCTCTCAAACTCTGACTCCCGATTCCCGGGAGCTTCGGGATCAGAGTTCGCTTCAGACTGCGCATCTGGTCCTCCAACAACGTCCGACTCATCGGGGCTAGCGCCATTCGACTCACCCTCGGTTTTCGCGGTCTCTGAGTTCTTCAGATACTTCAACATGGAACCTCTGACTCTTTCTCTCTCATCTTCTGCTAGTTTCTTCTTTTTGCGATACGATGCGCCGCTGGG